TTTACAATCAATTAATCTTATGTCAGTGATTTTGGTGTTATATATATATATATATTTTCTTTTATTTTGAAATCTCAATCATTCAATATTATATATTTAGTTTTCTAAATCAATATTTATTATTGGGTAGAGATTTCCTTTATGTGATATTCTACTTGGCTTTTGGGTTTTTTCATATCCTTTTATGGGTCTTGACTGATTTAGAGTTACTTGATATTATGTCGGATTAGATACTACATTGAATATTAGGTCGGAATTTGGTTTTTATACTATGATTTCCAGCCTTGCATTAAACCTTTACTGTTCTATGGTATATATTCGTATTATATACATTAATCTTGGTTGAAGGTTTAATGTTTTACTTTGGAAGCGAGACGTCTGAGCCCTCTTTTGTTCCATTTTTTTCATCCATTTTTTCTTCCTTTATTCTATCATCCTGGTCTACTATTTCTTTATGTGATTGTTCTTTTAACTTCCATTTTTATAGAAGTTTTTGTTTTTTTATTTGATTGTTATTTATTGTCTCTTTTTTTGGGTATACTTTCTTTCTTCTTTATTAATTTTCTTTTTCAGATGAATTTGTTGATCCTATAGCCATTTATGGAGTTTGGGTTGGCCGATATCGTTGTCTATTGAAGATTCTTCCTCCTCTAGCTGGTGATTATACTATTGTTTGATTGGGCTATGGCTACGAACTTGGGTTTGGGGTTTTCCCTTTCTCTTGTTCTTAACAATGTTAGTTTGTTGGTTCTTTTTATATGATTGCAGATGCTTTTGTGTAGTAGATGTTGTTGCTTTTAGCTGTTTTTTTTTTTTTTTTTTTTTTTTTGATTTGTATTAAGTTGTAATTCTTTGTTATTGTTCTTTTTTTAATAAAGTTGGACGCGAGCCTCATTTCTTAAAGAAAAAAAAAAAGGTTGCATATTTTGAAGTTCACCATCGAAAAAGAAGAAGGAAGATGTACATATATACAACTCAATTATATGTATTGACATAGCTAACACCAAAAATTCAATTTTTACATACATGTTACCTTCACTATGCATGAAAAAAAGTGTATTTCGCTTTTTAAAAGTTAACATGGCGGTACTTTTGATGTGATATAAATCATGTTGGTTGGTATAAATGCAAAAATTAAAGTTTAGGAGTTAGATATGTAACTATATAAGAATTGGGCGGTATGTATGTAAATGACAATGGGTGAAATTTGGCCAAAGTCCTTATCCTATGTGGTCAGCTGCATGAATCCTTTCTCTCCATTGTAAAATCTTAACCCTTCTTGAAAAAAATGGCAGACAACTACTTAAAGCCATTTTGATGCATTTAATTAGCAATACTAATTTCATGGGGATTCTTTTTTTGGTTTTTAAGGAAGATTTACATAGAAAACTAATTCCTGAAAATATATCAAAGTGATACTTTTTATGTGCTATAAAAGATTTGGATGGTATAAATATAAAAATTAAAGTTTAGGTGCTAGATATGTAAATACATAAGAATTGGGTCTAGATATGTAAGATATGTAAATACATAAGAATTGGGTGGTATGTACATAAATGCCCCTTATATTAGCTCTGTTATCTTCAGGATTTCCTTCTTTGCTTACAATAAGTACTTTCATTCCAATTTTGCAACACTGTTATAAGATACTTTCAGTAGCTAATGCTCGTGCAGCTGACTTATTTAAAAGAAACAAATGAATTTTTACGTACTAATCATCCAAAATATTTAATATAACATTTTCACGACCCAAATTTTAAATGGAACATTTTAACCACCCAAAATTTTAAATATAACATTTTAATCTTTCATAACTATCGCTCAAGGCTTCACGAGTGAGTTTAAGAGGATGGTTGCAATGAAAAAAGTGGTTAAAATATTATATTTAAATTTTAGATGATTAAAATGTTATATTAAATATTTTGGGTGGTTAGTATGCGTGCGACCAAAAATGACTTGCACAAATATCGAGACAATCTGAGTGTCCATATCAAAAACTAGGAATCATAAAGCTGGCTGGCTGAAGAACTGAAAGCCGACTGATAACCGGGCAATCAAACGATGATCCATACTATGCAAGGAGAATTCTTTCGCTATCTCTCTTGTATCTTTTATTTTTCAGAACCCGGGAATACACCATTTTGCCTCTATGGGGCAAGTTTGTGTGGGCTCTTTCCTTCTCTTTCTCCTTCTATCACACTTTCTCCACTTCTCTCTCTAAGTTTCTATGGCTCGGACAAATTTGGATTCAATTGTATACAATGCCTCTAATTTCCTTCTCAGCCTTTTCCTTTCAAGAAGAATGATTTCATTTTCTCATGATAGCCAAACAAAAACTAAATTATGAGATTTTGGACAGAAAATTCTACTAAAAGAATATATTTTATTGCTTCATAATCAACTAATTTTCCCATGTAAAAAAGCTAATATCACAGAACAAACTAAAATTATCATATTCATACAGGCTTAAGTCCCCCACACAGAGCAAAAGAAGAAAAAGAAAAGGCTCTAAACCCATCATCACAAGCATCTCTACCTTCATACAATAGAGACTGACACCAAAAGCAGGGAAACCAACCACAAGGAGCCATGAAGCAAGCATTGTGCCCTAAACGCATCAGAGGTGTAGAAATAGTAGTAAGGGTAAGAGAAACCCCCTCCATCCTGCCGGCCAGCCGGAGAAGAAGAAGATGAAGAATATGGTGATGATGAAAATGACCATGAAGTAGATGGCGGCGGTGGCGGCGGGGGCGATGGAGGCTTCTTTTCTGGCGGAGAAGGAACCAAATTCACAGGTTCATTTAGACGAGGCAGTGGCGGCGGCGGCGGCGAGGCTGGCGGCGAACAAACCACAGGACATGTACCACAGTTGCACACACCACAAGCTTGCCTCAGGGGACCTTGCGGCCATGTCATCCTCTGATCTTCCATTGCCAGCCACCAATAGAAATGTAGTAATAATAGCCATTGCAGCAACTCTGAACATCTTAACCAGATGCTAATTGCTTTGTTCCCATGGATAATTATAGGCTATTTGTTGAGGGCAGCTGAAGTTCTCAAATTCCTTGAATTACTTGGTGTTTAAGATTAAAAAGATGCTTTCTTTCTTATAATATGCTGACAAAAATTGATTATGCTTGAACAAAGAGATCAAGAATCTGATACCACATGCTTTTAGAACTTACGGGTCATATGTTTCCTCAAATAATAATCACTTTAAAAGTAGTTTTAGATGGTCCTCCGGCGGTCGGAGCAAAGCTTCGAGAGTCTTCGGGCCTTGTTCTAACCGGCAGAGAGCTCCTGGAACTACCAAATAGGTCCTTATTAAGGAATACCGTTGCTCATATGGCAAGGGGAAGTAAAATGTTTTTTTTTCTTTGAAACACTTACATGTGTAACATTTAAAGATTAATGTTTACATACATACCACCATACCTATGCATGAAAAGGTGTATTTCACTTTTTGAGAGTTAAAATAGTGATATTTTCGATGTAATATGAAAGATTTGAGTGATATATATATATATATATATATATATATATATATATTATATAAAATTGTATGTAACATAGGAATGGGGTGGTATGCCTGTAAATGTCAGTTTAAAAAAAAGGCGTGGTTCGAATCTGATCTTTTGAGATTATTCATTTTGTTTCCGATCAATGTGCAACAAGTCCGAGCATGAGGCGATAGAACTTAGATAGTGTTGTTAGATATGTACTTCCTGGCATAGAAATGAGACGAAAAAGAACACAAGCAAACACAGATCGTTTACGTGAATCGATCCAACTGGATCTACGTCCACGGAAGGGAATCAATCAAATAGTTCACTAAGACAAAAGAAATGGACAAAAGATCACTAAGACAAAAGAAATGGAGAATACATAGCTTATACATAGAGATGAACCCTTATCTTCCTTCTATGACCTCTCTCTCAAGCGAGACCTTGATATAAGACCTCAAGATGCTCTCCTCCTCTCTAGCTCTCCTAGCTATTCTCTCCTCCTTTGTGGTAGCTTAAGATCTCTTCCCTTGCTCTCCTAAGCCTCACACCCTTAAGATTTCTTCCCTTGCTCTCCTAAGCCTCACACCCTTAAGATTTCTTCCCTTGCTCTCCTAAGCCTCACACCCTCTCTATTTATAGAAGCAAGAGAGTGGTAGGTGTGAGATGTGGTAGGTGATGTACCACATTACACAAAAGTGCCCTTCTACTTTAGTTCATTAATTGGGGGTCAAAATAACTGATAGAAAATGCAAAAGTGGGAACCTTAAGTGAGGAGTAAAGTTGCAGCGTAAAGGATGCGATAGTATAAAGCATAGTTTATAGGGAAAGGAAAGGATTGAAGCATCTACAAGTCATGGAATCTTGCTAGTGTTATAATGTTTTGTTCTGCCACTAATCAAATCATCAGAAGATAAGTTGCTATACAATGATATGTTAATGAAAAGTAGAGGATGAGACGCTCCAACTCGAAATCTAATCTTGGCAGGGTGCAGACAGATGAGTTCAGGCGAGCTGAGCTCGGGCTACTTCGAGTTGGAGTTTGAGCTAGATTGATTAAATCAAAGTTAGGCAAGACTGAAATCCAACTTGATTTTAGCTAAATTTAAATTGAATTGAATATGAACGAATCAATGCATGTATTATGTAATTATTTGTATATGTATTCACATATGCTACATTTATTAATAGCAATATTAGGATTGCTTAAAAAGATAGAATAATGTTCGAGGACATAAATATAAATTAAGGTTTCTCATCATATTTCTATGGTTACCTAAAAACATTATGCAACAAGAAATATAAACGAAGCATTGGATAGTAAGCAATGTTGGTGATGTGATGGGACCAATATCAGATATATAAAAAAAAAGATAGTAAGCAAAACATGGGATTTTCGCAAATTCATGAATATTTCTTTCCATTCTTCAAAAATAAAATGATTTAAATTAGTCAACATTAATCTGAACCACCACCAACGCAAAAAAAGCTGTCTGAAATAGGAAGTAGATTTGAGCAACCTGCCAACCATCACTGGCCTTGGCTGAAATAGTGGCATGGCGGCGGTCGTCTCTCATATTCTTGATACTGCTGCTGCAATGGAACATAAACGAAACGATTCGCGCATGCATTGTTGTTCACATGATGAGAATAATTCTTATGTTGGCGATGACCACCATGCATGTACTCATGCTGTTTTCCCTTGTAATGGTGTTGATAAACATGATGAGGTCTAACATGTGCTGAATTCGTTGATTGAGAGGCTTGAAAACCCTGGTGATTCACCGGACGAGGGTGCTCGCGACATCTGTGGTTCATATACTGAAAATTTTGTTGATTTTGAGGTTTCTGGGTGCTTGCTTGAGCAGAGAATTTGGCTTTTTCGTGCTTCCACGATCTCTGGGTGCTTGCTTGAGCAGAGAAGATGGTCGTTTCAGGCTTCCCCAAAATGCTCTGGGGAAGTTTTTGAGGAATCAGGACGCCACCTTTTTGCTGAGTGGTGGAAGAACTTGCAGCATCTGATTTCACCTTCTGTTCATCTTCATGTTCGTTCTGTGGTTGCTGATTTTCTTTATTTGCTGGATTGTGATTGCCAGTCAATTTATTCCTGGATAGGATTGGAAAAATTAGTTTGGGCAAAATGGAAATTGAATGCATATTGCGTGCTATATTAGAGTTAAGTTTATAGAGTGCTTTATTATATTTATACAAGATTTTATGTAAAACTATTGCAAAGCATGAAGGCAACCAAGCCTTATTTGGAGTGAAGTTGCTTAATCTATTGTAAAATTTTATGGATTGGCTATGATTTTTATCTAGAACATTTTGTTTACACATTTTCATGTTTAGCATGTGGTTAAGCTAACTATAAATCCTTCTTCAATAGTTCCTTAAGCATGGGGTGAAAATTTATGTGCTAAGCGCTTTGTTTAAAATTTTTATAACTAAGAACTTATGATAACCTGAGTGCCGCATACTCAGATTAGTTGGTCGGACATCTGCTTGTTAGTTGCAAGTCCTCTTTTGTGTGGGGCTTGATTCTTCCCATATGTAGGATGTGGTACTCGAATTCTTAGGCGCATGAAGAATGACCAGGGCTTGTATTATAGCCTCCGGTCATTAAGAAAAAAAAAAAACTTCTGATAACCTAAGCGTCGCGTACTCAGATCAGTTGGTCGGGCATCGGCTTGTCAGTTGAAAGTCCCCTCTGTTCTGGGACTCGATTCTTCTCGTGTGTAGGGTGTGGTACTCGAATTCTTAGGCACATGAGGAATGACCGGGGCTCGTATAATAGCCTCCGGTCATTAAGAAAAAAAAAATTCTGATAACCTAAGACAAACAAACAACAAATTATATCCACCTAGCCAACACTAATTCCATTAAAATTGGTCCCATCTCTCAAAGGTCTATCCCACAAATTCAGATAGGTCACCTACAACATTTGAATTATATCAATCTATGTTTCGAAGTATCAACAAGTTCAAAGATAAAAATAAACAGTAGGTTCTCCTGCCTTTTTGAAATGACAAACCTTGTTTAGTAAAACCTTAGCAATCAAGGGATAATATTATGGTTAATCCTCTATACCTGTGAACCTCTGCACTCATTAACTTCATTGAATCAATTTGTAGCTAAACCAAGTCAATAATTCTATGTCCTTGTTACTTCTTCTATTTCACCGAAGTTGACTAAAATTCCAAACGATTCACATGCTAGATGAGCATCGATGAGTATCAGTCATTGATAAGTATCGCCGAAGTTGACTAAAATTCCAAACGATTCACATGCTTATAGATGAGCATCAATGAGTATCAGCCACATGATATTTCTACATTAACTTTATTTTTAGCCATTTAATGCACAATTAAATCCAAAAGTTTACGTACGATAAAATTGAAGACCAATTTCTTCTTAATCAAATCCTATTTAGTGATTAAATACGGTTAAGAGAACTCTAATTAAATCCAATCCCTATCATTGACATAATACATGAACTTGATGATCATTGTTGAATATATATTATCAGGATGTTCGATTTTTAGTTGATCACAGAAAAATCAAATGTGATCTGTGCATAATAATTAAGATTTATTCTATGCTTTAAGAATTTAGTTTCCAAAATAGCATTTGGGAACATCCACCTCTGATGGGTGCCTTGTTAGACAATCGTTAGAACGACATCCAGCCTGCTCTAAAGCCCTCTCCTGCAACAAGCCTGCAAGGAAACCTGAAGATCTAGCTCGATCCTCGTGCTCGCTAGTTCTTAACTTCTGCATAGCCCTTTTCTTACTCATCTCCCCCACAGAAAAATCAAATGTGATATATGCATGATAATTAAGATTTATTCTATGCTTTAAGAATTTAGTTTCCAAAATAGCATTTGGGAACATCCACCTCTGACGGGTGCCCTGTAAGACAATCGTTAGAACGACATCCAGCCTGCTCCAAAGCCCTCTCCTGCAACAAGCCTGCAAGGAAACCTGAAGATCCAACTCGATCCTCGTGCTCGCCAGTTCTTAACTTCTGCATAGCCCTTTTCTTACTCATCTCCCCTGCGAAAGCCTCACCCGCCCATTTACGCTTCACATCAAACTTACGGGTCTTCTCCCGCATAACACTCATAGCCTTGAGGAGTGCATCTTTGTAAACAGACGACGTTCTCTCACCAAACAACATGCCACACAGGTGGAAGAAAGGAGAAAAACCAAAGAACGGGAAGAAGAGAGATGATGCAAACTTTTCCTATCCAGTGGCTTATTTATAGCGGCCTGGGCACAAAATTCCGGGGAAGTTCATTATTAAGTAATAATGACATTTAATTCATATTTTTATGTATTTTTTGTACCAATAAAAAAGATTCTCTTGTTCTTATGTGTTGCACAGCTTTCAAGAAGCAAGAAAATCAAAGAACTAAATATGTATACAAAAAATAAGTCGACAAAGAAAATGGACAACTCAAAAAAAAGGACGACTGATCGTGTAACCGGTCGATCGTAGCTATTAATGACAAATAAATCATATGCTGACGAAGGAGATATGAGACAAATGACCGTAAAAGCCTGTCGAATGATTGTCCCTCAGAACGGCGATTGACAAAGTAAAAATGCGACAAACGATCGACGATCTTCTCACCATCGTATTACATTTAAATATTCTTGTAATTACTGGAAGACCCCCTTCAAATCTGGATCCTTTCCTATAAATAGGGGGTCAATATAATGAATAAAGTTATGCATTCTCTATTGTTCTCTACTATCCCCTCTTTCTAGCGTGACGTTCTATACCTTGGGTGTGTTTTCTGGACACTTTTGTATTCAACAATAAAAATATTTTAAGGTCAATGTTAAATGCTTCCAATATTTGTTTCATCTAAAAGTCGAACATTTAATATTGATGAAATCTATCTCTTTTGATCACCATTCTCTTAGTTCTTTTTTCCTTCTCTTTGATCCTTATCTCTCTTGAATATAGTGCATGTGGTTCTCTCCCAAGCTTCTCTAACAAATTTTTTAGTGATTAAATCCAGTTAAGAGAACTCTACTTAAATCCAATCCCTATCATTGACATAATACATGAACTTGATGAGGATTGTTGAATATATATTATCAAGATGTTTGATTTTTAGTTGATCACAAGAAAATCAAATGTGATGTATGCATGCTAACTAAGATTTATTCTATGCTTTAAGAATTTAGTTTACAAAATGGCATTTGGAAACATTAGAATGACATAACTTTATATCTTCTATTGGAGTATATAAAAATATTTTAAGGTCAATGTTAAATGCTTCCAATAGTTATTGCATTTAAAAGTAGAACATTTACTTTTGATGAAATCTATCCCTTTTGATCACTATTCCCTTCATTCTTTTTTCCTTCTCTTTGATCCTTATCTCTCTCGAATATCGTGCATGCGAGCCTCTCCCATGCTTCTCTTGCAAAACTTTTAGTCTTTCCCCTTCATCAACCCACCTCTACAAATTGAAGAAATGAAACCAGTCATTTAGAGAAAAAAAAGGCAAACTAATTTCAAATTTCAAAATCCAACCTGTCTCATTGTCTTAATTCTATAAAGATTTCTTCCTTTGATCAAAAGCTGATGAAGAGGTTGCAATGGTTTTACTCCTTTGCTCCATAGAACTTCAATCTACCCAACGCGAAACAATCTCAAGTTTGTTACCAAGAAAATAAGAAGGAATTATAATGGATACATTTAAGAAACTTACAGTGAACGTGTGTTGCTGCTTCGCAAAACCATAACTCTCCTTTACAATACGACCGGCAACTGTCCTGGTGCCACATGGTGGACCTGTAGCACTCCTGGATGCAATGCTGAACCTGATTGGAAAAATAGAAATACATTAGTATATTGCATTCTAAACCTTGGTTAAAAGCCTTCAAAACAGGTTAATAACATAAAAGGTTTAGAGAAGTAGCACTACATGTCATATACATTCTGTTCAAATATGACCACATCTCCCAGGCAAGCATCACCTAAGTGTAAAGCAGGCATAAGATAAACAAAATTTATGCTCAAGGAAAAATTGATCCATTGTGTGAAATACACTGATGCAATCCTAAGAACTCATTTATAAATGGCATTCTAAGATAATTATAATTTAGTATAATTTTTTGCTTAGGTGCTACTAGATGAGACTAATCATATACCTTTGCAGTTAAGCACAAAGCTTTCGGCTGGGTATTTTGTCTCCCCACAGCCATTAATGATCCTGTTTATTCATAAAAATAACTATAGAATTAGAATGTGAGTGGAATAATGGAGCTGATGTTACACATAACAAATGCATAAAATTGAAATATTGTATGCAATATTCTACTTGTTGCACATAATATCCATGCATAAAAACTAAAATAAAATATAATGAAATGGTAATAGTTTATACTCTCGGTGTTCTCTAATTCTGGAAATTAGGACAGCTTTGTTGCCTGTTAATCTCAAACCATGCTTTCTCAAGTAGACCTTGCACTGATCAAGTGTAAGTTTCTCTAAATGGCCACCTTCTGTATTATTTATACAAACGTTCTGTTATTACAAGGGATGAAAATAATGTATTACATATATATGACTATAGAATAGCATAAAAAACATAATCCATATTCTGAATTAAAATTTTTGAAAGGATGATGCATCTATTCAACCTAAATTTAAACCATCAGTGAACATAGGACTAATAGTTTCAATAGCATTTAATCAAAAACAGAGATATGCTGCATATTCTGTACAGAGAAGTTTGGGGGGACATATATTATAAAGATCCCGCAATTTGCATGATCAGAGAAACGTTAAGGAGAAAAAAAATGAACCACGACATGTGTTAAAGATCAGCTAGACATGCAACGCTTGTAAATCAGCATACTAATTTATGCCAGGCCTTTTGCCTGAAAAAAAAAAACTAATAATAAAATTTAATCCTAAGTGCAATAGTTCTGAAATACTGTAGGATTGATTTGAAAAAAATAATCGTTGGGTAAGGTTTTGAAAATCTATGTCATATAAGATGAAGCCTTTCAAAGTATGAAGCAGAGCACCATAGAAACCAAAGAGAGGAAAAAAAAAACTATTGCATGCCTTGTTAAGACTTGTTTGAATCCTAAGTGAGGAGTGTGCTGGTTTCATTCTGAAATCTTGATAATCCATTGCCCGATAGTTATAATCAAAAGAACTAATTTATGCCATCTACCTACAAATATCACAAATTCCCATATTTCTCCAAACAATAGAAAAAAAAGAAAAAAAAAAAAATGCAATGGCTATCTTGCAATGGTTTCTTGTGATCCACAAGATCTGATAAACAAATTGCAACCCATCAATGACTTGTTAAGAGAAACACAAACAGACCTTTAATAAGTTCTTCAACCTTCTCAAAGGATTTTTCATCCTTCTTATCCAGCTTGGGGATCTCACCCCCCACAGCTTCTCTCTCGGATTCGCTCTCCAAGTTGTCATGAACAATTTTAGATCTCCTGCTCAAACGCAAAACACCTATTTTACAATGGCATAATTCTTCCCGAATCTCAAGATTACAAGAAGGCAAAATCAAGAACTAACCTGGCTCTAGGCTTTTGGATAGAGAGCTTGGAAATGGCCGACCGGATTTCCTCCATGATGTCGAAAGAGGGATCATCGTCGGAGTCATCAGTAGACTCAAACTCATCGTATTCCGACTGCTCTTCCATCTCGCCAACGTGTTTTTGAAAAGCTTGGCCTGTAACCATTGAATTGATTGAAGATATAGTGTTAGTCGAAGCTCTCGGTCCTAGGAATTGGATGAAAGGGCCGCAAAAGTCTGGATTTGATGACCGTTAGGTTCTGAGCTTTTTTTTTTTTGGGCTCTTCCATCTCATTTATAAACGGCGACATTTGAATTTGTTCAAAAAAAAAAAGGGCAACGCATTTATATATAAGCCACCCAATTTTATGTATTTGCATAGTGGACCTAAATGTTGTTTTTTAACATTTATGCCTCCCAAATCTCCATAACATTTTTGCCTCCCAAATTTTTTATATCACATTTATTATTTCACTATTGTAATTTTAAAAAAATGAAATATACATCTTTATGCATATTTAAAATGACATATATATATTAAAAAATGAAATTTAATTGTTAGATATATGAATACATTAGAATTAATGTGTAGAATTGTTATAAATATGACACTCAAATTTTTAACGTTGCATAAAAATAGTAAAGATGGATTGTATCCTTGTTATATAACTTTATAAAATCAAAATATTATAAATATAAATATTAAAGTTTTTGTCTTAGATATGTAAATACATAGGAATTGTGTAATAAGTATGTAAATTTTCAAATACAATAAATTAATTTTCTTATTGTAAACTGTTGAATTTTGATTTGTTCATGAATCACACCGAAGAAATATAAAATAATGAGGGGTGGGAGAGAGAGAGAAACATAAGTGAATACTAATGAATAGTAATATATCGTATCAATCGTAGCTTATTTATAAAATGTTTTTTTGTGTATAGAGGAGAGGACAAATATCGTTATGTTACACAGTTATCCCTCCTTTAAAATGGTGCATAGTATTTATGTTATCTTATCTGAATAAGAATATCGTTCGACTGTTTTTTGGCTAGATCGGCTACGCTTAATTGGCTTCTAGTCGACATGATCAGCTCGTTCGATTGAGCTTGTTTGATATGGATCAGCTTGGTCTGTCAAGATTGTTTGATATGCATCAACTCGATCGTTTGAGCTTTGGTCGACATAGATTGACTTGGTTGTCTAAGCTTGCTTGATATGAAAACCTGACAGTCGATCCTTGACCACTTATGAGGAATCTATTAACGTTTCCAAGGGTCTGCCCCAGGAAGCTGCTACGAATAAGCTAGTTGGTTGTTTGCTTTTTGCAGTTTAAAAAATTTGTGCGGCAGCTATTTTTGAACTAATGATCATTCTGCCACTATTGGAAAGTCCTTTCCGTTTCTCAAGGCATTCACATACATACCACATAATTCTTATATATGCACATATGTAGCACCTAAACTTTGATATTCACACACACACCATTGAAGTCGTTAACGTCATAGTAAAAAACATCACAATTACGTGATTCTTATATATACCTAACTAGGTCCAACAAAGGTTTAGGAAAATTTCCAAAAAACGATGTTCAAAAGAAAAGCATCTGTTTGGGATGTTGTACATGTAATTATTCTTAAAGAAAAATTGGGCAGAAGATGGTTAAAGCAAACATTCCTTTGTTTCTTCCCATTAAAGACAATGGAACTAGTAAATCGAAACAACTAACAAACCAGAAACAAAAATTATATGTTAAATTCATGGGCAAGCATCAGTGTAGATCCTAACCCCAGAACAACGCAGCTCTAATGGGTGGACAGGAGATCCCTCATCCTCCTCCTTTCCTTCTCGTGGTTCCCTGTAGAAACAAGATACAAGATGCCATCCTTCGAGCCCTAACAACCAATCCCCCCCCCAAAACAACCCCCCCCCCCCCCCCCCCCCCCCAGAATACCAAAATGGCGAGTCTTGTTTTCTCCCAATGTTGCGCCTCTTCTGACTGACATCCGCTTCCGGTCGAAGACTCGGTTACCCGTAGCAAACAATCTGAGCTTTATCCCTGTCGAAGACCACTGACTGATTAGGAAGGAGGAGCTCCATCTCGGGATGCCGCCGCCATTCAGGCTAAGAAGAGAGGGAAGAGTCTCAAGAGAGAGCTCTGGCGCGAGGGATGAGATAAGAAGGGTAGTAAAAATAGGAGTGGAAATGTGGGCCGCGGGGTTTGACCCACAGCCCGAGTTCAACGAAAAATTTTCACGCATGTCGCCAAAACGTGACAGCCAAAAGAAAAAAAAATGGACGACTTGGGGCCGTGCGAGAAACGCGGCACCAAAAGAAGCCTAAGATAGCTAGAGATGCTAAGGGGCTGGATTCTCCCTCGTATTGCCTTTCCCATAGTAGTTGGCTTGAATGTCCCTATGTCTCGTTTCTGACTAAATGGTTTGGACTCAGATCATTGGGTTGTCTTTTGATCCTCCTCGTAGCTCGGTCTATTTTGACCTTATTGGTTTAGGCTCAAACAACGTCAGTTAGTCGAACAAATAGGCCTTATGATCTTAATCTCGTTGGTCCTACTTTGTCACAATCTTTTCTTCTAGATTGTTAGATCTCATCGGAATCAGTGATGCCCTATTTTTTATGTACATATTTAAATTTCCTAATTCTTTTACTTTTTGAAAGCCACGCTACGATAAGAATAAGAAAATTTAATATAAAATGTAGATCACATTATTAAAAGTTGATACAATATTTGAAGTCGCTTAATTTCCGCACATTTGATTCTTTAAATAAGACATGATAGGTATTCTTCTCATTCCTTCTTTGCTCTGCAACCCTTTGAATTAGCCAGCTATTGAGCATTGTAATGGAGAGCGTGTCAAATACTTCGGGCAAAATCCCCAATAAAAATTGAATTTGTGTAGCCTTAAGGAGATCGAAGGAGTGGTACCACTCGTAAGTTGACAAGAAAAAGAAAGTCCTCAGTAAGGAGAGAAAAAACGGTTGCAACCTTACTGCCATATTAGGTGGGCTTGTTCCTCAACACTACGGGGAGGAATTTTAAGCTAGCCAGCTTGACCATTGGTATGACCGTCCAACCTTTTAGTACGATGCAAGACCCACCAATGACCCATAACACCAAGGGGTTGTTGTAGCCCTCCCGTCTTATGGTGAGGTTGATGTGTTGATTATAGCATATAAGATGAATTGGTTCATGGGTAAGAGGAGTCTCAGTCTTAATTTTTAGATTTAGATTTCTTTTTTATGAAGTCCTTTTTCTTTACATTATTTCATGATGCAAACAACTCGACTTCGATGAGGCATACATGGGTAAGAATCCGATCATGCTGCTAGCAACGACTGCCTACGTGCTAATTGAGAGCGGTCGACTCTCGAGCAAGGATGGTGGGACTGACCTCACAGATGATCCTACCGAGACCAACGACAAGCAACTAATGGGCATCATATGTATCTCAGATCGTTGATTGACCACCTGAATGACATTAAGAACTCCACTCAATCAGCTTGGCCCGTATGGAGAGCCAAGTATTCCTCATCCATCATAAAACCCTCATGTATAGAAGATAGAAGGGACAAAATGATATAAAAATTACATATTCAACCCTACTTAAAAGTGAAGAGCAACGTGCATTTTAGTCCTTATTTAAGCTTCTGAAAAGCCTTGAGATTCGTGCATATCATTTTTCAGCATACAATATGAAAACCAAATTAAATTTGTCGATTCTATTCAGTCCTAATTGTGGTGAATTATACGATGATTTCTATCTTCAATGATAAGCAATGCTTCCAACCACCCTTTGATTTTATTTGTCCAGCAATTTTGTATTCTTAAACCTGTACTTGCATATCTAACACATTAGACTTTACATTTCTAACACCTAAACTTCACTTTTTTACATTCATACCACCTAAAATTTTTATATCAAATCAAAACTAATTTCATTTTAACTTTTAACAAGCGAAATACACTTGTTATTGAACGTGTAAAGTGGTATGTGTGTAAAACTTAAAGTTTAGGTATTAGATATGTAATTACATAGGAATTGAGTGGTATGTATGTAAATCTTCCTTAATTTATTAGGTTCCATCTTATATTGTTTTTTTTTTTTAATTAAATTGATATGATTTTGATTTATAAGAAAATATTATATGGCAAATATAATATTGCTTTTGAGTATGCCGGCTTAATTAACTTTGAAATTTTATATAATAAAATGGATGGAGAAAATAATAAACTCTTTGTAAGTATGTGCAGATAAGGGTGGATGAGATGATCACATTATCATAATTTCATTTTTGCGTGAAGTGATCTTCTCATTCAATGTTGTTCGTATATACTTATAAAATATGTAATATTTTCTCAAATAATGTCTATGTTTATCATATAAATAGAATGCATGGACGATTTTGTGGATTTGATTCATTATTTACTTATTAAACTACAGATGAGTAAATAATTTTAGTTACATATATAATATCTAAACTTTATTTTTTACATTTATATCACATCAAAATATAATTATTTTGATGTCATATAAATGTGGAGTTAGTAAACCATTTGGTATGTTGAATGACACTTTCAATTTTTTCAATAAGAAAAATAATTGTGAATATGATGAAGGTAGTATAAGATTGTTACATGCTAAAAGCTTTTAATGGTGGAGAAAGATTAAGCAATGACTTGGCATAATTGTCCAACACACACATAGATATAAATGCAAGAGATGATCAGCTTCTGAATATGAGAAGACACCAAAAATGAAAAAACTATGGGGTGTGGCCTAGTCAAAATGATTTGTTAGGAAATTGCAAGTATATAAGTTCTTTCTTCTCTTGAATTGAAAGTGCAAAATTGATAATTAAATATGTATAGTAATTGTTTAGCTACACTAATCATGGTTGGATTACAACAACTATAGTTGGTGGCTATAATAGTCGTAGTTGGCTAAAAAATAATATAGTTAGGGGTAACAACAGTTGCATTTGGCTAAAATAACTATAGTTGGTGGCTACAAAACTGTATTTAGCGGTAATAATTACTGGTGATAGTTAGAAATGATTGGTCTTTTACATGCACTTTTTTTCTCACGAGTTATGCTTTAGTTTTTAGCTCATCTCCTACCCCTTCATATGAAGAATTAAGGTCTAATTATAAGCTTTTGAGAGGGGCATTATGCTAAATTTGTCCAACTTCCCAAAACACTTAATTGGATGGTCTATGTTGGTTCCTTTAATCGCAAGCTATTTTTTAATAATTCAAGTGGCTTAAAGACCTTAAAAATAAATGACCTTGGACTTATTGGATTTCTTTTGCTGAGCCACTCAATTTGAGTACAATCATGTCATATTTAGATATTTTTGGCCCTTCAATTAATGCACCAAATGTTTGATATGAGTTTTTTTGGATTTAAATTGGATCACTTTCAATGTTATTAAGATTGTATTGTTGAAGTGCTCAATTTAGCTATAAATTTGTTAAAATCAGAACTTGTATAATCCCAAATTCAAATTTGAAGGATCTCTTACCCAAAATGCATCAAAATTCAAGCAAGATCATCTAAATTTCTAGGTGATATATTAAAGATATAGACAATGAGCCCTTTATAGTTATTGAAATGCATCGTATGCACAAGGTTTTTAATTTCAAGATATATGAAGAAGCTTTTATTTTTGAACTTATCAAAGAATTTAATTAGTTCACAAGTTCGTTAAGTTCTATGAATATCAACCTTGATCACAAAATATATGCCTTAGAGTTACTTTTATGATTTCTTAAAACTTAAAAATATTATAGTAACATCCAATAGTCACTTTTATGGTTTAGGAAAATCAAAGTTAAATGATATAAGGGTTATTATTCTTAATTAAAAATAAATAAACTTTGATGAAAGAAAAAAAAAATTACACTTCTTATTATGATTTTCATACTGATATTACTGGAGATTTCCTTAGATCTTCATTATAGAAAATTTTAGCCCTATTATTTTTAGTATAGCATACATACACGTTATAAAATAATTATATAAAAAAGAATGAAATAAAATTTTCAAAATACTTTGATGAAATAAATCATAATTTATAAATATTTTGTTGTAAAGAATGTTCTATTGTTAGGAAACATTAGGCTCTACAACATTAAAGTGGTTCTCCTTATATTAAATGATATATACATTGGCATAACTTAGTGCCACACTACATTGTGTAAGATAAACTTGATCTATCTTATCATCACTAGGAGTCTCCTTGCAAATTTATACATATTTTTAGTTTTAAATTATGATGATTCAATAAAGTTGTTAAATCCAACACTTCACCACTCAATATTCCATTTACAACACAGAGAATCTGCTGTTTCTATTTGCCTTCAACCAAAAAAATCCTTATAAACCACGATATTATTAGCACACTAGCATTGAGAGCATTTAAAGAACCTTAAATTATTAAATATATCGTACATACTTTAGGTAACAAAATAATCCCAACATGCACACACACATGTAAGAAAATGGTATACATGGATCTCCAAAAAATCTAACAGCCAGACAGAGAGACTAGAATACTCCTGCCACTCTCCTTAAAGCAATGATAATCATGTAATTTCATACTTTATCCTCTTATCATATATAAATAAGAGAAAATTTTTCATGTAAAGAGGCTTGTTAGTGCCCCTCTTGTAACCTCTATTTTTACTAAATAAATAAGTCTAAAAATCTTGAAACACCCCATTCACCCCGATGGAGCAAGTCCACCTACTCTCCTCCTTTCTCTCTCTCTCATATTTCCCCTAGTCTCTATGGTCTATGCCTTGAGCATGATCGAATAGATTGACAGGCGGAACTGCCAACCACCTCTGGCTCACAACCCGTTAGATTTGGGTTGGACCCATGCGCCTAACCACTCGAGTACCACCCCCATATAACATCATTCGCTGGGGGGATTCGAACCCCAGACCAACTCACGAAGCAGATGCCTACCAACTGATCTAACATATGTGAGTTTGAAACTCTCTACATCTAAAACAACTTGCAAGTTGCAATTATAAAGATCATATCAGTGACAATCATTTTAAATAATATTACATTTAGTACAAATAAATAATGATGTTGATAGTTTGTTAGTACTATATTAAAATATCTTGTTGAGATTAGCGTTGTATTATATGAATTCACTTGAGAGCTAAAATATGAGCGGATGGCAAAATTTTCCTGCATATTAAAAAAAATAAAATTCTTTGGTCATAAACTGTCCAAACTCCTAATAATCGGTCGATGCAACTTTTTTCCAACAACAGACAAAATCACTTTTAAAAAAGTGCGTTGAGAGCATTGCATTAATGAGGAGGCGGACAAGACTTCTATTACGGAATCTTCATACAACCAATGGGATTAAGATGTGCTCAATCATGAGAGCAAAAGTTTCACCATCAAATAATTATCATATATCATGATAAATCTTTACTTTTACCCGTAGGAATCGACGATACAAAAGTACATTTTAGTCTTCTCATTATCAGCACAATTTTTTAATTATTATAGAGTTATTCGCAAATAATAAAAGCAGAGAGTGATTCGATCGTGAGAGTTTTTGATCGTCAGATAAGCCACAGCTCGATCGATATTTGATCCAAAAGAAAGTTTCATGTTTATCGTCTTGAGGACTGATCCCCGCCCTGCAGAACTTCTCCTGACAAGTTTCGCCACAGTCGTCAACTACTATGGTCGATCGTCAATGTCATCTCATGGGTCATTTATCTATCTCAAGATTCATGCCGACATACTTTTATATGTATAAAAATTTTAATATTTTTTAACCTAATACATAGATTTCATGGGTGTAAATATAAAAAAATTAAATTTACGTGTTAGGCATGCAAATACATAAGCATTAGTTGGTACGTACATAATTCCCACAATTTTAAATTGAATGACAGTGGCACTTACTCTCCCGGCCCCATCTATTGAATTGGCATCATCAGTTGCATCACATGAATTATTGCAAAAAAAATCTGTTAAAATAAAATTATTCTTAATTTAATGTTCATAATTGCTTTTATTCTCCGTGGTTTAAAAACAAAAAGGGATTTATGAATGTCCAATTATCAGGGAAGATTGCAGCATTATTATTTTTAAGGGCGGTTACATTATTAAATATAAAAAATATATTAAAATAAAACTATTAAATTATTTAAATTACATAGAAAAATATTAAATTTTATTATTTATATAGAAATATTATAAATTTCATAGAGTAAATTCCCCACCCCTAATTTTAAAAAAGATATTATGTGTGAAAATGGAAAAAATCTTGCCTATGGAGAATATTTTCATTTGTATCTGATTGGGCTCACTTAAAAAATGACGAAAAGACTTTAATAACATTTCAATAGCGCCACAATAGACCGCGGTGTTATTTGTGTGATACTTTGGGCGGTTGTTAGTGGCGTTGTTCCTGGGTGTTATTGAGGTATTATTGTGGTGTTATTGGAGTTGTTTTAAAATAACACAACAATTAACATTTTTTCATCATTTTTTAGGTGGACCCAGCCACACACATATGATAAGATATTATTGGAGTCTCGACTCAGAGCTACATCTGAACTCAGTATGTAATATTTTATCGTGAAAAGGATAAATATCACCCCAATATATCATAATGTCCTAGCTACATTCATCCACAAAATATTTCATTTAGACATCGCATCTCGGGGAGCCAATCAGCAGCGGCAACATCATCATATACGTCATCGGCGGACATCATGACGGCCTGTAGTTGGTTGTTCAAACATGCAAACTTCGAGACGGAATATTTTTTTATCATAACCATATCTAGTATTCCTTCCTAATTTGGCCTGAAGAGAAAGTGAAGGAGGCATAATTGTTTTTGAAGGGGTTAGGGAAGGGGAAAAAAAAAAAAAAACTTTGATTTCGTCGCAAAGGAGAAAGTAACAGGTACAGAACGAAAAAAATTTCTCCGGCGAAGCATCGCCGTCACGCCTGGCGTTGGCCAATACAGCGTTTGAGCGCTGGCGAACGCGGGGCTTTATAATACTTATCTACAAACAATTCGTTCAGAACCAAATTCCCACTCCGCCCCTAATTCCACTGCTCACTAACCGCCGGCACGACCGCAAATCCTCTCCCGCCACTGTTCCACAGCTTCACAACACTGCCGTTAATCGCCGATCGATCCTGGCAACCGTACCAACCCAGATCCGCACTCCATTCCCAATCCCAACAATCCCAACAGTCTGCACCGTAACTAAAACCTTCAGGTACCCATTCCTCGTCCTCATGGCCGCCGTGAGTCTCATCTTCGGCGAGGAAGTAAGCGGTGAACCTTCCCTTGGTCGACGATTCCGTCCCAATCCGATCGCTGCAATCCAGTACCGGAGGTGAAACAACCGCCGACGGGATGATCGCCGGCTTCGATGGGGGAACGTGAACAGTGGGGGCGATGGATTTGGATTCCGATCGAGATCCGAAGAAGCGTAGGCGCCAGAGGCCTAGGGCTGCAGCGAAGAAGGCGATGCAGGTCCAGATGTGGCCGGCGAGAGTTGCAGAATAGCGTAATATAATTGCTTCGAGCGCCGATTCAAGGACAAGCTCCATTTGGGGAGAAGGGAGAGGAGCAGAGAGGATCTGGGTTTGGTGTGGGGGGGTTCAGAGTTGTGCGGGAGGAAGCGATTTATAGTGGAGAAAGGGGAGATCAGGGCCGTTGGATTGAGGAGGAAGATGCTGAGAATCGGAATTTGGGCGAGGGAGATGCCGAATAGCCGATCCAGATGCCCGAGGTGCCCGGGGGCTGGGGCTGTTGGCGCTCGAGGCGCTTAACGTTTTCCGTTTGCTAGGCGGTGTTTTAACTTCCCACGTGCGGCGTTCTGGAAACAAGAGGTTTATTTAGGATTAATTTTATTTTATTTTTTGGTTTTTTACTTTTAAAAAATATTTATTCTGCATTTTTTTTACATATTTTATTTTAACTTTTGAAAAAGAAATAAATTATTTTGAAAATATTAAAAATAAGTGTTATGTGTTTTTAATGCTTTTAAAAATAATTATAACCTAATCAAATATATTAAGATTTTTTACATGACGATCATTTAAATTTAAAAATTAATATTTCAACCCCTAAAAATTTCTCCTTTTTCATTAAAGTCAGACTCACTTAACTAGCCATTCATGGGTTTTTGTACTTGAAATGTTAACTTTTAAGTTTAAATTGTCAAAATATTATATTTAATATTTTAAGTGATTGTTATGTAAGAACTCCATAAGTTAAATGCGTTTTAATTCAAATTAAAATATTAATAAAATAAAAAAAATAATAATGAAAATAATTGTGATAATAGACAATCCCTACCCTCTAACTATCTCAAAAGATAGGATTTAAAATTACTCGTGTCCTAAAAAGTTTAAAAATCACACTTGTGATACTTTAATAGGGTTGGCTGCTCAGACTAATTTTGTAGCCTCTAGGGCATCGAAAGATATAAATTTAATTTGCTAGAAAAAATAAAATTTATTTAATTATTTTCATCAAAAGAATAAAAATAAAAAGGATCATAAATAGTTGTAAAATAAACATTTTTTAAAAAATTCCTTTGTGGAATAAATATTTACCACTTATCTTTAATATGCAAGATATAACAAAATTTATTTAAGAAATTTCGTTAAAAGAATGAAAATAAAGAGAATTGATGTGTGTTAGAGGATTCACAACAGTATAGTGATTATTTTTTGTCTTAGTGTTGTAGAATTCAACATACTCTCACATAATAAAATAGAAGTAAGTTGGATGAGACACGCCGACTTTTTATGTGGAAAATCCTCTAAAGGAGAAAAAATCAAGTGACATAACAAGTTAAAATAACCCATTATATACTGCTGAGTATACATGCTTACACCTCTCTTGAGTTAGAGAAAATGAAATTACAAGGTTGATGCACAATGGTATGGAGGTAGTAGTCTGTCGTGAATATTGTAGATGGTGAGTGCATCACCAATTTGTCATAGAGGGTGTAGTTGAAACTCACGGTAGCAGTTGGCCATGTGAGATGTAGATCGTTGTTTAACATCCATAGATAGTTGAGGCTGGAGTCGGGAGCTACGTGAGTTTACAATGGTTTATGTTGTAGTTGGTCACATAGATCATAATGCGAAGTTGTCATACCGTCCATGGGCCACAAAGACCATAGTTGCAAGCTGCATGAACTGTGATAACATGACATATGTATGCCACATAGGGTGGAGTTACGAGCTGTATGAGTTGTGGTAACATCTATAGACTGCAAGACAAAGTTCAGAGTTGCATGAGTTGTGATGACATCCGTAGACCGGAGTTGATAGCTACGTAAGCAGTGACAACATCCGTAGACCGCAAATTACTTAGTTGGGAGTTGCACGATTAGCGGACCACTTATGTAATATTTAGTCATAAAAGTCATAGTGGAGAGTTGTAATAGAGAGAGTTTCATGAGTCTTATAAAAGCCATTATATCATGAGTATGATGATTGTAAGCAATTATTATGGGGCATTGCGGGATGCATCATTACACCATCTTTGGGATGCATCATTATATTATCTTCGAGATACTTTGCTACACTGTATGAGAAGAGCGTGTTTTTCCATCTACGGGGTGTTGTTACACCTTCTTAGGGTGTGTTGCTACAATGTAATGTGGGTTGAGCATTTAACTACCTTCTAGGTGTTGTTACATTATTTTCGAGATGTGTGGTTACTCTATCTTCAAGGTGTATTGCTCAGTAAAATGCTACATTACTCTGTTATTCGTTTCTCTGCCACGTATATCATGACTCTTTATGGGGCTTAATACCAGATTTAACCAAAACCAAGACCAAACGATAAATTTTATAGATAAATTTTTAAAACTATAACGATAAATCCTTAACAAAACAACACAAACTTGTAAACAACACATAACAAAAACTCGCTGCAAAAAAAAAAAAAAGAAACAACACAAAAATGGCTCTCTAAAGGAGAGCAATAGCATGGAAGGGAAGGACGAAAGCGATTGTCGTGCTGGAAGATGGTTGACAACCCAGAGCTACATCATCAAATGATGGAGAAGTGAGGGTGATTTGTTGGGAGGAGGCTGACAGCAAGTGGTGGCGACGTGGAAGGGAATATGAGAGGTGGCGGTGGACTGTACAACAACGGGAATTGGTGCTGGGTGGTGAAAAACTGTAGGAACTGGTACCCCGGGGGTTTGCCAGCACTAGGAAGAGGCATGTAAAGCTTGTGCGATTCTTGAAAGGCGGTTGGAATCAAGGAAAGTGGTAGGAAGAAGGACCATAGTGCTTGTGCATTGGCTGAGAGGCGGCTGGATTGCTTGACGAAAATAGGAAGAGGGGTTGGAAGGCCAGTGCAGTGGCTAGGAGAACGACGACAGAAATTGGGAAGGATAATTATCCCTGTTGTTAAGCGTTGGAGTCTGATTTTCTGCCTCCCGATCGCGAACTGAAGCGAAGCTTCGGTTGTTTTCGCGAATCGGTGGCTCAGCCTGCTCCCGCGCGCCAGAAGCTTTGCTTCGCTTCGTCCAGTCGTGAACTGTAGGCGTCAACCGCTCCCGCCTTCCTCTATTATGAAGTGAAGCATCCCTGCGCTCCCCTCATGTTCGTGATAAAAGGTATCACACGGGTCTCCTTCAATTTTTTGAAGTCATGATTTTGTGTTTCTTCTTCGGATTTCCTCGGGATAGAGGAAGAGTTTTTCGGGCTTCCACGAGATAGTGGAAGAGAAGTGCAAGGAGGAGTAGTTCCTTGCGGTAGAGGAAGAAGAAGCAAGAAGAAAGAAGAAGAAGAAAATGATTCTCCCTTGACTTCTTCTTGGTGTCTTGTGGCAAAAGAGAAATTAGATTTATTTCTCTTGTAAGTTTATCTTCTTTGGTGTATCTCGGTGTAGAGTTTTTTCGGTGTACCTCGATGTAGAGAAAGAAAAAGAGAGCAACGAAGTGAGAGATTCCTCTTGTAAGTTGAGATGATTGACTGATGTAAATTACTCAAGTATTAAAATCCTCTGCAACTCCGTAAACGTAGGCAATTTGTCGAACCACGTAAATCTGTGTGTTTTTTTTTTTGTTTGATTTTTTCTCGTTCTATTTTTAGCATCGTCGATCGTTCTCCTGTTTTATTGATTTATAGATACACCACAAGAACAACTGGTATGTCTAGATCCCGCAACACCTGTGGGATTGAGTTACAGGTGGAGCACCACTCGAACATTTGGAGAAGATCACCACATCGAACAAGTTACAATCAGAGCAATTTCTCGCCTTTGAATAAAACCCTATAAGGGAAAACAACCCCGGTGGTGACTGTCTTGGACAGTACTCTAAAAAGCTGGAAGACTAAAAACTAACCATAACCAAAGCAAACAATACATGCATATAATGAGGAATAGCAGAAACAATAGGTAGGGAATAGAAATAGAAGTTTGATGGAATAGGAAGTAGGCAGACAAATAAAGTGCTAGGGAAAGGAAGGGCTAGATAAGACAAGAAATCAAGTAGGAATGGGGGGGTCGACAACTCCAATGGGCTAGATGGCAGTACTGTAGCTTGTGGGCTAGATGAAACTCAATGTAATTTCCTCGTTTCATCAGACTAAGGATAGGACTAATTATATTATTATTATTAAATTAAAAAAAACTAATATTTTAATTAGGTCATAATTAATTTTATTTCTGCCATTGAGGAAGCTTACTTTTTGGTTGTTGCACCACTTTTATCACATCAATATGTTATATGTCCCGGTTCGTGATGGGACAAAGCTCTGCTCGTCCCACTTATTTTTCTCAGGAGAGTTTATATGCATAACAGCCGACTCTTATGTATTTACATTCATAACATTATATTTATCATAAATAATGATATTATTTATTTATTTATTTATTTTGAGCAAAAACCAACCCAACACTAACGAACAAATCTTTATTCGTGTTTTACACGTTTATAAATCGAGCTAAGAAAATTATTTATGTTCAGCTCACTTGCTTGACGAATGACTCGAACACGAATTACTTAACGATCCAAACACAAACTATTTGTGAATGTCAAGTTTTTTTTTCATAGGCTTGGCTGAAAGTAGCGAAAGACGACATCAACAAAGAAAAGACACCAGAGATAATACAATTTATGCATCATAGACAGTAAACTACAGTTTAATATAAAAACAAATCTCAAGAAATTTATATGAAATTATAGTTTACACATATTATTTGAGAAATTATTCATAGTGGCTTAATTCCTTTGCATGATTCAAGGACAAATTTATAGTTCAATGACTACAATAATGACATTATCATGAATATCCCATTGCTCCATAATTGTTGACCAAATGTAAAGTTGTTGGCCGATTAGGCTATCAAAGAGCAGTTCCCATGTAATTTCATTTTCATAAGAAGTGTTGTTTGTTGGAGAATTCACGATGGCTGAATAATACATTAACGTCTTAGCATTATATGATAGTTCAACATACAAAGAGATAAAAGAAGACCTGATAGAGAGGACACCCAGGTAATTTACGTGGAAAATCTAAAAGAATAAAATTCCCGGTGCCTAGCCTAATTGAAGTAGTTTCATTATGTCAAT